TGGTCGGTCCCCTGTCCGTCCCTTTTGGGGTCGGGTCGACGGTCCGCGGCCGCCCCGCCGATCAGCGCTGCCGCTGGCCAGGCCGACGGTCCGCGGCCGCCCCACCGCTTGCCGGGGCCCGGCCTGCAGGGAAGAAAGGCATACCCCCCAAAAGGGGCTCGATCGAAGACGAAGAGGGCGGGTATCGAGGGTTTCGGAAGTACGCGTTATTGGACATTCCAGCAGATAAGGGCGAGCAGTCTTAAAATGATTGTTGTTGTTGGGGTTTCATTTCTGAAGAATAAATACTTGTGATCTCCCCTCACCCGTACACATTGTTTTCTCAATACAAACATGCCCGTCAACGCTCGCTCCCTGCTTTTTGACAGGGGAAATCTTCGTGTTCCAACTGGGCCCCTGGCCCCCCGGATTACAACAACAACGGCTCCCGCCTGACAGTTCCTCCAAATTTACGATGGGCTCCTAAGGCTTCCTAACAATTTACTCAGGGTCGGTGCTTCCTCTTGAGACTTCCTTACAATTTAGTCAGGAATCCGCTCCATCTGAGACTTCCTCACAATGTAGTCAGGAACGGCGCTCCCGCTTGAGACTTCCTCGAAATGAAGTCGAGACCTCCTCGCAATTTAATCCAGACCCCCGCTCCCGCCAGAGAGCCCCTCACATTTGATTCAGGAATTGCGCTCTCGCCTGTGACCCCCATGCAATTTATTCACAAATCGCGCTTTCGATGCTCAGAAAACACGCTGCGCCAAGGACGCCGTTTCAATTTATTTAGTATTCGCGCTCTCGCCATACTCAGGCATTCCGCTTGAATGTCCCGCCCGCCCGACCCGCCCGTCAGGGGATCGCCCGCCCGTCGTGGGCTCCCGCCCGAGACTTGATTCAAAAAGGGCGCTTTCGCTTAGGACTTCCTCAAACGTTCAGGCTCTTACCTTCCTGCTCCTTCTACTCTCCCTCCTCCCTCCTCCCTCCTCCTTCCTCTCCTCCCTTCTCTGTGTCTCTGCCCCATCTCCTCCCTCCTCTCCCTCCTCCCTTCTCCTTCCCCTCTCCTGCCTCCTCCGCCTCTCGTTTTTTTGTGCTCTCTCTCTCTCTTTCCCCTCTCTCTCTCTCTCTCTCTCTCTTTCTCTTTGTCTACCTGTCTTATATGTCTTTCTTTCTTTCTCTCTCTCTCTCTTTTTTTTTGGGGGGGGGGTTCTCTCTCTCTCTCTCTTTCTCTCTCTCTTTCTCTTTCTCTTTGTTTGTTTCTCTCTCTCTCTCTCTCTCTCTCTCTCTCTCTCTCTCTCTCTCTATATATATATGCATCGAGCCAACCGCCCCCATCTTCGCTCCTTCTCTCCTGGCGCTTTCCCTCTTCCTTCGCCCCCTTCCTCTCACTCTCCCTCGTTCTCCCCCCCCTTTTTTTTGCAGGGCCCACACCAATTCCAATGGCGGGCGCATGTACGCCCACGAAGGATTGTCCGCCCGTTCAGATTCGCTCGCCTGTCTAGACCCGCCGCCCCCCGCAAAGAGAAACAATCCCCCCAAAGGGGGCGTGATCGAACGCAGAAAGGGCGGGTTTCGAGGGTGTGGGGAACTCGTTTTGATTGACACACGGGCAAGTAAGAGCGAACAGTTTGGAATGATTGTTGTTGTTGTTGGTGTTGTTGTTGTCGCTGTTGTTGTTGTTGTTGTTGTTGTTGTTGTTGTTGTTGTTGTTATTGTTGTTGTTGTCGAATGTTCACCTTGTCGAGTAATTGTGGACGTTCCCCCTCCCCACCGGTGCACATTGTGTTTCCAATTGAACTACCGCTTTTGGGGCTATTACATTGTTTTTATCAGGGGATCACGTCCTGTTCAAATATGTTGTTGACCCACCAGTTACAACAACAACAACAACAACGGCTACCGTCTGATATTTTTCCACAAATTATTCCAGCATCGCGCTGTCGCGCGGGACTTTTTGTACAAATTTACGCAGACACCGCGCTCTCGCGCAGGAGTTCCCCTATTTATTCAGACGCCGCGCCTTCGACACTCAGGAATCACGCTCTCGGCACGGGGTTTCTGTTGATTTACACACGGGAATCGCGACATCGTTTGAGATTTTTTCGCGATATATTCAGGACTCACGCTTCAGCAACCCCCCTGCTCAACCTGGCCGCCTGGGCCCGCCTTCTCGAAACGCTCGTGAGGGTCAGCCCGCCCGATCAACCCGTGTGGTTCGACCATCGGCTTTCTGTTTATATTAGTTTTCCTGTTGATTGCCTTCGTGCTCCATCCTTGTCCCTCCCCCTTCTATCCGTCCTCTCTTCCCTTACTTCCGAGGCTGAAGGACATGTACGAAAGATACCCCCAGGGTTTTAGGGCGGGTACCGAGGGTTCTGGATATACGTGTCGAATGGCACGCGAGCAGAGGGGAACACACATTTTTGATCTGCGGGTCGAGAGCGAGCCTCTTCCGGTCGAAGCTAAGCGGGCCGCGCACAGCTTTAATTAACAGAGGAAGGGCAAAAGGAGGCGGGGCCTCACGCCAACAGAGGAGCGAACATTATTCACATGATTGTTGTTGAACTCGCACTTATGACAAATAATTCTTGTTGCCCCCCCCACCGGTGCACATTGACGTGCCCCCCACGGGTCTCGCATCTTTTCCCGGAAAGGGCTTAGGGCCAGGGTTCTTTTTTAGTGTGTTTATTGTGGTTCTGAGAGCTGTAGGGCCGGCGAATTTATTTTGCGACAAATAACGAGGTCGCGTAGGGCCGGCGAGATTATTTTGAGGATGTCTCGAGCCAAACGCTTGTTTGTTTTTGTTTTCACGTGTCCAGGTCGCCCAGGCGGATGTCTAGCATGAGGATGTGTCGAGGAAGTCTCAATCGAGACGCTTGTTTGCACGTGTCCAGGTTGCCGAGGCAGATGTCTAGCATGAGAATGTGCTGAGAACGTCTTGAGCGAAACGCGTGTTTTCACGTGTCCAGGTCGCCCAGGCACAGCACAGCCCTCGGCACGGTACATCAAAATCGGTACCTTTAGCATTGCTGCCTGGCATGTTGCTTGGCACGTTCCGCGGAGCGTCCCGTGGCGAGTCCACCTGGCACGTCGCGCGGTGCACGTCCATTGGCACGTTCCGTAGCGCGTCCCCTTGGCACGTCCCGCGGTGCGTGCCCATGGCACGTCCCTTGGCACGTCGCCTGGCGCGTCCCTTGGGACGTTCCGCGGCGCGTCCTCCTGGCATGTCCCCTTCAGTCGATTAGTTCTGGGACAGCTACCATCTGCTCAGGCAGCTCGAGCTTAAGATCCAGATCAGTTCGGTCAGGACTCGGATGCCAAGAGGACTCTTTCCACAATGCTATATAGAGCACAACCGCGGCATGGCACATCGCAGTTCAGGACGGCCCAGCACAACACATAGCCGTCGGCACGGTGCATCAAGATCGATACACTCAACATTGCATTTTGGCACGTTCCTTGGCGCGTTCCGTGGCGAGTCCACCTGGCACGTCGCGCGCCGCGTCCCTCGGCACGTCCCACAGCACGTCCATTGGCACGTTCCGTAGTGCGTCCCCTTGGCACGTCCCGCGGTGCGTGCCCATGGCACGTCCCTTGGCACGTCGCCTGGCGCGTCCCTTGGGACGTTCCGCGGCGCGTCCTCCTGGCATGTCCCCTTCAGTCGATTAGTTCTGGGACAGCTACCATCTGCTCAGGCAGCTCGAGCTTAAGGTCCAGATCAGTTCGGTCAGGACTCGGATGCCAGGTCTAGAGCGCAATCGCGGCATGGCACATCGCAATTCAGCACGGCCCAGCACAGCACAGCAGTCGGCACAGTACAGCAAGATCGATACATTCAGCATTGCATTTGCCCGTCGCCAAATCAGATTCCTTTTGAAACGTTGTCATGCTTTATAGTTCTGAATTCCTTTTCCGATTTCGTGGGTCGATTGTGTTTTTTTCCAGGGAAACATGTCTTGCTCAAACTATGCCGATGGCTACCCAGCTACAACAACAAAAACGGCATCCGCCCGATACTTCCTCACAATATTCCCAACGCGCGCCTTCGCGCGGGACTTCCCCATACGCCAAGCAGACATCGCGCTCTCGCGTGGGAATGTTTTGTTATGTATTCAGACGCCGCGCCCACGGCACTCAGGAATCGCGCTCTCGCTTTTGTTTGTCTCACGATGTACGTGGGAATAGCGCTATTGTTCGAGCTCTCCTCTCGATTCATGGAGTCTTCACGCTTCAGCAACCCGCCTGCTCAACCTGGCCGCCTGGACCCACCTTCTCGATAGGGTCTGCCCGCCCGATCTGCCCGTCTGGTTATACCACGCGTGTTCTGCTAATTTCTCTTGTGCTAATCTCTCGTGCTAATACCTCGTGCTAATACCACGTGTGTTCTGCTAATCTCTCTCTGTTTCTTATACCACGTGTTTCTGCCCCCCTCCTGCTAATTTCTTTCGTGCTCCATCCTTTTCCATCCCCCTTCCATCCGTCCTCTGTTCCCTTGCCTCAGGGGCTGCGCCAACTGCACGTGGCAGGTAAGAAGGATCTACCCCTCAAAGGTGGTACGATCGAAAACGAAGAGGGCGGGTACCGAGGTTTTGGGATATACCTGTTGAATGGTACGCGTGCAGCTAGAAGCGAACAGTCGTCCTCGCCCCCGACCCCCCGCGACCCACCCGTGACCTACCCCCGACCCACCCCGCGATCCATCCGCGACCTATCCCGCCCTGTTTTCATTCTGGTGCCGTGCGGCGACGGAGCGCTGCCAGTGGATGCCCAACACGGGCGCTCGTTGATGGGACGAGCTTCCACCTCCACTATCATGGGTTGGAGAGGAAGGAGAAGGAGGAGGAGGCGGAGGCGGAGGCGGAGGAGGAGGACCTCCCCATCCTCGCTTCTGCCCCGTCCTCCCTTCACGGTGGTGGTGGTGGACAACACGGCCCATCGGTCGTGCGCCTTCCGCCGCGGGGCGGGCGAGGACCGCAGCCGCAGGGGCGCGCGCCCCGCCCCGGCCCCGGGCGCAGGTCGAGGAAATGGCCCGCGACAGGAGCAGCAGCGAGGACGTGCGCGCGCCCCTCCCCGCCCCGCCCGCGGCTCTCGCGCGTCGGCCGCCGCGAGGGAGGGGGGGGAGGGGGGGAAGGGGGGGTGGAGGGGGGATGGAGAGAGGGGGGGAGGGGGGGAGGGGGAGGGAGGGAGGGAGGGAGGGAGGAGGAGGAGGAGGAGGAGGAGGAGGAGGAGGAGGAGTGGCAGGAGGAGGAGGAAGAGGAGTGCAGGAGGGAGGAGGAAGGAGAGGAGGGAGGAGGAGGAGGAGGGGAGGAGGAGGGAGGGGAGGAGGAGGAGGGGGAGGAGGAGGATAAAGAGGAGGAGGAGGAGGAGGAGGAAGAGGAGAAGGAGGAGTAGGAGGGGGAGGAGCTAGAGGAGGGATGCCGGTGGCGGACGGGGTACGGAGGGAGCTCGGGACGGGCGGAGACATTAGGAGGGTGGATGTGGAGGGCGAAGGGGAGGGGAGATGAGGGATGTGGAGGCGCATAAATGTGGGGGTTCCGACAGCTTTCGTTTATGCAATCTCCATTATTCTAAGAGAGGGAGAGGGATGAAGGAGGAGGGATACCGATGGCAGTAGGGGGAGGTTGGGATACCGAGGCAGGAGGAGACGGATGGCGATGCTGAGAGGAAAGGAGGTGTGGTGTAGGAGGAGGAGGAGGAGGAGGCGGAGGAGGAAGTGGAGGAGGAGCAGGAGCAGGAGCATGAGGAGGTGGAGTAGGATACATGATTATTTGAAGCAGGATCAGGACTTAGATTGGGCAGCCATCCTTCATCTCCTACTCCTGCTGGATACCTCCGCACTTGCACAGATCAATCCACATCTCGACATATTTGCATCTACCTCGGTCCCCTCCTGCTCTTTCTTCCCTCCACCCTTCCTCTCTTTCTCCCGAGGGAATGTCTCCTCATGCAGCGTTGGTGCACTGGGGGCCGTATCGGCTGAGACCAGGGCCCCCTGGCAGCAATCGGTCGATAGCCGATCTCCAGCGCGAAACAAGACAAGCGAGGTTCGACCAGTTTCACTCCTCTTCGCTGTCCACCTCTTCGTCCCTGCCCATGCCCCCTCTCCATTTGACGATGTGCCTCACGAGGGTGTGGCGATGGAGAGGCTGGCGCGGGGACGGTGTCCTGCGCAAGAGGGAACTTCGCGGATGACTGATGGAACGTGTAACCGATGTGTTATTGCTCAGTCAAGTCTAGACGCTTCGCCTAACGCCACCAGCCCATCCAGAAACATTGCTGAGGCGAATTGCGCTGATCAGGGATGTGGAGGAGCATGCAGTGGAATAGGGCGCTGGGGAGGCCGTCGTACCCCACGAGGGGGAGGATGGAGGAGGACTCGGAGGAGGAGAAGGAGGAGGAGGGGGATGGGAGAGAGGGAGGAAGGAGGGAGGAGAAATAGGTGGATGAGGAAGAGGAGGAGGAGGAGGAGGGCGCAGAAAGGCCAGAGGCATCTTGGATGCTTCTTGGAGTCTCTTCGGATGTCTCTTGAGAGCTTCGTAGGGTCCTTTTGGGGCGTCTTGGGGGCCCCTTGGCGGTCCCATGGGGCCTCTTTGAGCGTCTTCGATACTTCAGGGGCGCCTCTTGGGGCCCTTTGGGGGCCTCTTGGGAGCCTCTTGGGGACCTCTTAGGGGCCTCCCGGTCGTCTCTCGGGGCTCTCTTGAGGCACCCTGAGGAGCCTTGGGTGCCATCTCGGGGCCATCTTGGAGGAGATCGATTTTAGAAGGGGAAGTCCCGAAGTAGAGGTTCCTCTAGCAGGCCAACATTGGTCCACAACCTGAGGAATACCAGTGATGTTTGCCTTCTCGCAGACGCCTTCCTTAACACTCTAACGAGCCGCGGCCCCCCCCGTCCAGGCCCAGGGGAGGGGGCAGGGGTAGGAGTGCCGTCTCGCTCTCTCCCACCCGCCTTCCCAACTCATAAAGTGGCACCCGAGCCGCTGCGTGTTCCGCCTCGTCGTTGTATGGACAGCTAGCGTGAACCGAGCCAGACCCCACGTGCGCAGCGCTGGGGCGAGGTGTGCCAGGCGCGCCGGGTGCGTCAGGCTCCCCTGCAGCCGAAGCGTGCCTGGCTCGCCTGGCGCGCCAGATGCGCCACCTTGTCCACGCGCGCCGTGTGTGCCGCATGCTCAAGCCGCGCCAGGTGCGCCACGTTCGGGTCACGGGCAGAGTGCGCCAGGTGATCCTGCGCACGTTGCAGTGCACTCGGGAAACTTGTCGGCCCCCACCACCCTTGTGGAAAACCAGTACGCAATCGCGGCGGGGTGGCCATCATAGCGTTTGGTGGGCATGCACATAACAGGCAATCTGTCAGCACCCCCGCCGTCCTTGTCAAAAACCAATGCACAGTAAACGCGGGTTGCCCGCGCAGTATCTAGACTTTGTCTCGGAGTGCAATTTGTCATTCGCAGAAAGGGCGCGGACCCAGGGTTCTCTTTATTGTTGTTTACCCCCGGAGTCGACGGGCGTAGGGACGGCGAAATTATTCTGCGATAAATAACGAGGTCGCGTAGGGCCAGCGGAATTGAATTTTGAATGTGCCGCTGGCGAAACGCTCGTTTTGCGAAATGTGTTGAGAATGTATCGAGCGAGATGTTCGTTTTGTGCTATAGGTCGTTCCTCTCCTAGAGACCAGAACTCAGAGGATATCTTAAGTGAAATGCTTGTTTTCACGTGCCCAGGTCTCGAGGATGTCTCGAGCGAGACGCTTCGAGGGTGTCTCGAGCGAACCGCTTCTTTTGCAGAACTCGAGCGGCCTGGGGCCTGGGCGCCCCAGGATGCCCAGGTGGATTCGGGAGGCCGAACGCAGCGTAATTTACAACGGAGCGCGGCCACGGGAGCGGGGACGGAGCGTAATTCACAATGGAGCGCGGCCCCAGGAGCGCGGACGCAGCGCAGTTTGCGAGGGATCGTGGCCCTGGGAGCGCGGACGCAGCGTGTTTTGTAATAGATCGTGGCCCTGGCGGCGCGGACGCAGCGCAGTTTACGAGGGATCGTGGCTCTGGAGGGGCGGGCACCGCGACATGTATTAGGGAGCGTGGCCCTGGGAGCGCGGACACAGCATAATTCACAAGTGAGCGCGGCCCTGGGAGCGCGGACGCAGTGTAGTTTGCGAGGGACCGTGGCCTGGGGAGAGCGGACACAGCGTAATTTTTGAGGGATCGTGGCCCTGGGAGCGCGGACGCGTTGTAATTTAGTGACCCCATGGCACGTCCCCTGGCACGTCGCATGGCGCCGTCCCTTAGCACGTCGCGCGGCGCGTCCCCTGGCACGTCCCGTGGCACGTCCAATGGCACGTTCCGTAGCGCGCTTCCTTGGCACGTCCCGCGTTGCGTCCCCATGGCACGTCCCCTGGCACGTCCCCTGGCACGTCCCTTGGGACGTTCCCCGCGGTGCGTCCTCCTGGCATGTCCGCCTGTCAACTAGCTCTGGGGCAGCGGCTGTGTGCTCAGGCAGCTCGAGCTTAAGACCAAGATCAGTTCGGTCAGGACTTGAATACAAAGGAGGACTCGATCCACATCGCTATAGAGCACAATCGCGGCATGGCGCATCGCAATTCAGCACGGCGCAGCACAGCGCAGCCCTCGGCACGGTACATCAATATCGTTACACTCAGCATTGCATTTGCCCGTCGCCCAATCATGTGTCTTTGAACACGTTGCCATGTCTTACATTTCTATACTCATTTCTGGGTCCGTGGGTCGACCATGTTTTTGCTTGACAGGGATGCTGGCCCTGCGCGCAGCAGGCAATGCGCGGGCACCCCGCCGTCACTGTCAAAAACCATGCAAAGTGTTCGCGGCTCTTCCGATCATGACCCAAGATTGTGCCCCAACGTTTTGACAGGGATGGTTGGGGGGGTGCCCTCATTGACCGTGGTTAGCTGCCAGTCGCCTGGGGGATGGGGAATCATGATCAAGGCACGAGCCGTCTTGTTCATTCCCACATGCCGTCCCAAGACAGTAGTAGCACCCGAGAATCCCTGTTAGAGCCCAAGACCAAGTAGTCGCAGGACGCCCGCGCATGCTCCAGATTTGGAGGCAACGTGTATTGAAACGCTTCGCTCATTCCGCCAGCTCATATTGCCACGCCGCTTGGGGGCAGTGTTGGGGCCTCTTTGGGGCCTTTGGCAGGCAGTCTTGAGGCCTCTTGGGGGCCGGGTAGGCCTCTTGGGGCCTCTTGGGGCGTCTTGGGAGGCGTCTTGGGCCCGCTTGGGGCTTTTTGGGGGCCTCTTGGGGCCTCCTGTGGGCCTCTTGGGGCTGAAGGCTGGACTTTTCGGTTCCTAGTCCCTGTCTTTGGCCCCTCTTGGGGTCGTTTTGGAGCCCTCTTGGGCTGTCGTGGGCGCCTCTTGGGCTGTCTTGGGGCCATCGTGGGCCGTCTTGGTGCTCTCTTGCAGGCTTCTTGGGCCGTCTTGGGGCGGTCTTGGGGGCCTCCGGCCGTCTTGGGAGCGTTGGAAAGCCGAAAAGGCGAGAAGGCCGAAATCTTTCAAACACCATTGTAAGATTTACGATTTTGGCCTCTCAGGGCCCTCTTGGGGCTCTCTTGTGAGGCCTCTTGGTGGCCTCTCCGGAGGTCTTGTACGCGTGGTGGCCCGTCTGGAAGCCATCGTGGGTGTCTCGGACCGATCGTTCGATGACTCTCAGGAGGTAAAAAAACACAGACACAATTAATTGTCGATTCCCCGGAAAATATGGAAAATATGGGAAGTGGTGGGGCAGAAACCCATAAAATATGGGGAAATATGGGGAATCTGGTTATTTGTTTCTTTTTATTTGTGTGTCCCAGTTCCCCTTCAGACTCGGAGCCCTCTTGGACCGTCTTGGGGGCCTCTTGGGGCTCTCTTGGCGGGCTCTGGGGGGCCTGAGAGGCCGCACCTAGGAGGAACACCATCTCCGAGTAAAGGGTTGCCAGGGATCGGCCAGGGTACTTTTGATCCGGGGACCCCCGAAGGCGGCCCCGCGCACGCGAACTAGAAAACTTCTAAATTCATAACACTTTGCGCATCCCCACCAGTTTCGTCTGTGCGCAAATTTAGGTCGTTGCATCGACGCTTCGTTCTGACGGCGCCCGGCGTCTTCCGGTGCGCTTGTGATCAAAAAAGCGTATCCCCACCAGCCCATCCAGAAGCAATGCCCATGAGAGTTGACGGGGGAGAGGGGAAGAGGCACGCGTCACCCATTGTCAAACAGCGAGGGAGGCTTGGGAGGCTCCGTGGCCATCTGGAGCCGTCTTGGAGCGGTCTTGGGGCCGTTTGGAGCATCTTGGGAACCATTTTGAGCCAGCTTTGGGCTCTCTGAGCCATCTTGGAGGTCATCTCGGGCTCTCTGGGGCCGCTCGGGGGCCTCTTGGGCGCCTCTCGGGTGCCTCTTGGAGGCCTCTTGGGGCCTCTTGGGGCGCTCTTTGGGGCCTCTTGGGGCTCTCTTGGGAACCCTGGAGGCCCTCTTGGGGCCATCTTGGAGGCTATCGATCAAAAGAAGGTGTCCCTTTATCTCGGTCCCCCCCTCGGGGGCCCCGATCCTAGTGCGGGGTGGCAAAAAATGGCCCTCCCAGTGGCCGAAAAAGGACGCTCTAACTCGTCGCGACCCCTCCCCAAAAAACCTCAGGGAGGGGAGGGGGTGGGTTCTCCTCCCCGAAAAAAAAGAGGGGTTGTGGGATTCACTACTGGAGATCTTAGCACGCCTCTGACCCGTTGGGCCGGCGACTTTTGATGTTTGTTGTCAACAGGGATGGTTGGCTTGCGCACAGCAAACAACACGAGGGCACTCCCGCCGCCCCCCAGCAGAAACCATGCAAAGTGGTCGCGGGGCGCTCGCGCATGCTGCAGATGTGTGGCAACGTGTGCGTCGTTATGTTTTTTAGCAGGAACGGTTGGCCTGCCTGCAAAAAGCAATGAAAAGGGCCCCCCGCCAACCCTGTCCATAACCAACGCAAGGTGGTCGCGGGGCGCCCGCGCATGCTCCAGACTCGGATGCCTCGTTTATTATGTTTCCTTCTTTGACAGGGATGGTTGGCTTGCGCGCAGCAGGCAATATGAAGGCACCCCCGCCGTCGCGATCAAACACAACTGCAAAGTGGTCGCCTCACGCTCGCGCATGCTCCAGATTTGGAGGCAACTTGTATTTCGCGTTGTTGTTTGACAGGGATGGTAAGGGGGGAGCATAGGTCAGGGTTGCTGCTGGTCGGGTGGGGGTTTCATTAACAGGGGAACAGTAGTAACCCTTAAGAGCTAGCGGGACGGGAGAAGTGAGGAGGAGGAGGACCTTGGGGCCCACGGCGTCGATGTCTCCCTTTCTGTCTGAGGGGCCACTCGACGATCCTCTCGCGAGCCAGGGTGCCCTCTCCGTCAGCCCCTTCTCCATGCCACTCCGCCCCCGTTGACCCCTGGAAGTCCTCTACTACCCGTCGACCCCCCCTTTCTTGTTCACAAGATGTGGCCGCCGAACCAAAACGGCGGACGGGGGGAGTGTTGAGGGTTTTGTCGAGTAATCCGAGATGGCACCACGACCCAGCCAGCGTTTCTCGACTTCGTGGTCGCCGCATTCTCCCGATCCACCTCGTCCTCCCCTTTCCCATCAACTGCTTCTACCAACCCGAGGGCTATCTGAAGGATGGCAACACTCTTTGGGTGGCAGGTCGGCGTCCTTGGCTCTCCCTGCTGCCAATTCTCAGAGCCTATGGATGCATCGTGTTCTTTTGGCCCCGGTGATGGGACTGGGTGGCCGCCCGCGGATCCGCGCCCGCTGCAGGAGTCGAATAGGAAGGCGAAGGCCAAAGACAAGAAGGATTATGGCTGCCTCGCTCTCTACTTTACGTTTGAGGGTGGGGAGGCGGACGGGGAGGCAGAGCCGAAGGCCGCAGCTCAGGCGCGTGCAGGCGAGCATGCCAGCTCCAAGGCCCCTGCGCCGCGGGGCGCACACGCGCTCGGGGTCTCACTCTTCGGGGGACTGGCCGCGACTCCGGTCCAGCCCCGTCGAGCGTGTCACTCGGCCAGCGGCTGCACTTTCGCTGCACTTTCGCGTGCTGCGTCCCTCCTCGGGAGGCTCCCTGTGGCCCCAGGAGAAGGCCCCCCGGTGTCGAAGACCTGCGCATCTCCGAGGCGTGGGCATGGCCAAGACCACAGCCCGGGCGATCGATCTTCGGGGACCTCTGCAGGCGGTGGATATGGATATGTTCATGGCCCCTGGGGCCACACACAGTACATGTACATATACATAGATGTAACAATACATGTACATACACACCTACACACATATATACATAGCTCTAGTGGCCTTCTGCCCATCCCGCCACCGTGCCTGGTTCGTGGGCGAAATGCCTGTGGGGAAGTTCCTTGTGTTTTGGGGCGTCACACAGGCATCTCTGACGTGCCCATTTGGCCTTGTGGTTGTCCATGGTGGTTATCCACGGTGGCGATGACGAGTATAGATATACTCAGCAAGGTGATGCCACATGAAAATGAGGAGACAGGACGGGCGAGACAACGGTAATGATGCTTTTTGCTAATGATGAGGGCGATTGTGGCTCGCGTTTGTGCGTACCCGAGCCGACAGCTCTTGCAGCAACCTCCCGACCTCCGCTAGAACCCGAGCGCGCACGATGAGGAGGATGATGCAAGAGACGATGGGTGCGACGACGTACACGCGAAGCGTAGCGGGTCCCATCGTGATGATGGTTCTTTGGATCATGATGTATTGATATAGAGTGTGGTGACTCGATTGAAGGATGTTTCTGTTGATGCGGATGATGATTACGATGCTCGAGTGCGACGTGCAGCATCACTAGCAGCACCAGGCCAAGGATTTTACCAGTGAGGCTGATGATGAATCAGACCATGAGTCTTGGCATGACGGCGTTGCTCATGCTGAGACATGATGTGTGCGGAAGACGCCTGGAATGATCATGATTATGGGGATGAGTGCGATTATGGCACGCGCTCGTGCATGAGATTCTGTCCACGACGTTCCGGTGCGCGCCTGGACTGCGCTAGAAGCTGAGCGCGCGTAGCGTGCTCGATGGCTCTCTCGTGATCCTCCACGCTCTCTTGCTCCTGCACGTATATCGTGAGCCCGTCTCGCAAGAGTGGGGGAGGGAGACGAGGCCGGAGAATGACGGGGGGGAAGAAGGGCAGAGACTCCTCCGGGCCCCCGCCGGCGCGGGGCAGCACAGGTGCAGCCGTCCAGGCTCCAGGCTCGCGGATGCCGGCCTTGGTGCTCACCCCGCGCAGGAGCAGGCACCTCCGGGAGGCCGTTTGGGAGCCTCCTGAGGGCCGCTTCGGGGTCTCGTTGGGCTCCACCTGGGCCTCGGGGAAGTCCCTTGGGAGCTTCTCGGGGAACTCTTGTCGGGCCGGGCGAAAGGGAGGGATTGGGAAAGGGGGGGTTACGAAATTTGCTGCATGCAGCTGGTTTCGGCCTCACCGAGGGGCCCATTCCTCGATACATAGCCGCTTCCGGCGCCGGGAGGCGCCGGGAAAATCAGCTACGTGAGCTGATTCTCAATCCCCCCCTTTGCTGTCCCCCCCTTTCGCCCGACCCCATCTTGGAGCGGGCCTTCTCCGAGCGGAAGGCTCGGCTTGTCGGTTCGTGTTCCTCCGTTTGGGCCCCCTCTTGTGAACTCCTTGGGCCGTCTTGGGCGCCTTGTTGGCCTTTTGGGGGCCGTCTTGGGCGCTCTGGAGGCCCTATTGGAAGCCTCTTTGGTTGTTTGGAGCGATCTTGAGTGTCGCTTGGCCCGTCTTTGAGCGTCGGGAGTTGTACCAGCTCTATATATATATACATATACATCTGCACCTTCATCTACATCTACATCTACATATGCATGGTCATCTGCATTGACCACGACCTGTACTTACACACTTACATAAGCATACACGTATACATCTGCATGTATGCATACATATGTAGATATACACATCTACATCTACATTAGGGTCGGCCTCCCTGTAACTTCGGGCGCGCTTGCTTAGAGGGCCCCAGGGGGGGGCTGCCACTTACGATTTCGGCGTTCCCAGAGAGGCCTGCCACTTAACTTTTGGCGTTCCCAGAGAGGCCTGCCACTTATCTTTTGGCGTTCCCAGAGAGGCCTGCCACTTAACTTTTGGCGTTCCCAGAGAGGCCTGCCACTTATCTTTTGGCGTTCCCAGAGATGCCTGCCACTTATCTTTTGGCGTTCCCAGAGAGGCCTGCCACTTATCTTTTGGCGTTCCCCGAGAGGCCTGCCACTTATCTTTTGGCGTTCCCCGAGAGGCCTGCCACTTATCTTTTGGCGTTCCCAGAGAGGCCTGCCACTTATCTGTTGGCGTTCCCCGAGAGGCCTGCCACTTATCTTTTGGCGTTCCCAGAGAGGCCTGCCACTTATCATTCGGCGGCCCCAGAGAGGCCTGCCACGCATGTTTTCGTCTCCAAGAAAAGCGCAGTACCTCGTTGACGACTGACGACGACAGACGACGACAGGCGAAGACCGACGACGATGGACGACGACTGACGACGACCGACGAAGACCGACGATGACCGACGAAAGACGACGACGACGACGACAGACGCCGACGACCGACGACGACCGACGACCGACCGACGACGACGGCGACGACGACCGACCGACCGACCACGACGACAGACGACAGACGACAGACGACAGACGACAGTCCACAGTCGACATCGATTCCCGCCGACGACGGTCGACGACGACCGATGACGAACACGGACGACGACGAATGCGTTCTCCTTGGACGACCTCGGCCTCCCTGGGTGTTGCCAACTGCGTGAGTACCGCCAGTTTTGCGGGCCCCCAGGAGGTCTGTCGGAGTGGTGTGCCGCGCAGACTCAAATGAAAGCTCGCCGTCCGTGCGTGCTGCCAACTGCGCCACTGTCACCACTTTGGTGGGCCCCTTGGGGGGTCCATCAGGCCGGTGTTCCACGCGGACTCAAATGAGACCTCGTCTTGCTTGGGCGTTGCCAATTTCGCAGTTGCCGCATCGTTCAATGGCCTGGATGCCGCCAGCTGCGCCATTGTCGCCACGTTCGTGGGCTTCTGGGGAGTTCAACGGAGTGGCGCCCAATGCAGACCCACATGTGGCCTCGCCCTCCCTGGGTGCCGCCAGCTGCGCCACCGTCGCCACTTTCGTACGGAGTGGTGCTTCGGCGAAACGGCATTCCCTCCTCCTCCATTTCACTCCGCCTCCACGCTTCCCTCGCTCTCTCCGTCTCCTCCCACCGCGTCCTCACTCCGCCTCCTCACTCCGCCTCCTCACTCAACCTCTTCACTCCGCTTTCTCCTGCTCCGCCCCCTCCTCCTCCTCACTCATCCGCCTCCTCACTTCTCCCAATCAGTCCTCCTCGTCGTCCCCCTCACTCCTCCCGCATCACCCATCATGCCTCCTCCTCCTCCGGCTTTCTCAGCCCCCCCACTCCTCCCCCATGCCTTCTCACTCATCCTACCCCTCTGCCCATTCACTCCTCCTGCCCACTCCTCCTCTCCTCATCCTCATCCCTCCTCCCTGTTTCTACTTCCTCTCCTCGTCACTCCGCCTCCTCCTACTTCTCCTACTCCTTTTTTCACTGCGCAGCCAAAAGTGTTCGTCATCACTCCTCCTACACTCTCCCCCTTCTCCTCAATCCTTCTCCTCCTCGTCCTCATCCTCCTCGTCGCCACCAGTCCTCCTCCTCCTCCTCCTCCTCACTACCCCTCCTGACTACTCGACTCACTCACCCTCCTCACTCCACCTCACCACTCTTCCCCCATCCCCCTTCTCCCTCCACACTGCTGCTGCTGCTGCTCCTCCTCCTCCTCCTCCTCCTCCTCCTCCCCCCCACTCCTCGTACTCACTCCTCCCTATCTGTTCTTATCATCCCTCCTCGTATTCACTCCTTCTCACCACGCCTCCTCACCACTCCTCCTCCTTGCTCCGCGTCATCGGCCTCACTACTCAACCTCACTCATCCCCCCCACTCCTCATCATCACCCTTCCTCATTATCATCACCCTCCTCCTCCTCCTCCTCCTCATCATCACTCCTCCTCCTCAATCCTCCTCACTCCCCCGCCTTCTCCTCCGCCTCCTCTTCCTCAACGCCGCTCATCTTCACTCATCCACCTGGTCACTCCTACTCACTCGTCATCCTCCCCACTCCATCTCCGTACTCTTCGAACCTCATCCTCCTCGACATCATCTCCCCATACTCTTCGACCCCGCATTATCATCGCTCCTCCTGCTCACTCCTAATCCTCCTCCCGCCTCCTCGTATCTTATCCATCTTCACTCATCCTTCTCCTCCTCCTCCTAGTATATCACTCCTACTGCTCGTCCTCCTATGGTGGTGATGGTGGAGATGATGATGATGATGATGATGATGATGATGATGATGATGATGATGATGATGATGATGATGATGATGATGATGATGATGATGATGATGATGATGATGATGATGATGATGATGATGATGATGATGATGATGATGATGATGATGATGATGATGATGATGATGATGATGATGATGTGGGTAATCGTGAATGGGGACGAGGAGGGGGCGACGATGCGAGTAATGATGCGGAGCAGGATCATGATGTGGATGGGACGATGATTTCGAGTAGGTGGAGGAAGAGGCGGAGGGCGGAGAAGGATAATAGCGAGTTGGAGGAATCGAAGGGGGCGGCCCTCGGTGTCAGGAGGCAGGGAGCCGAGGAAGGGGATGACGAGAAAAGGGGATGACGAGAAAAGGGAGTGCGGCCCTCCGATAGGTCGTCCTGGCCGGACTGCCCACTCCCCAGCCTCCCGCAGGAGCCAGGGCC